CATAGAATCACAGCTCACCTGGAGCAGAAACCTCAGCTGGAGCCAGAACAGGTAGGGATCCTTAAAGGGTAATTGACTAATTGCTGGGGGCTAGGCTTGGACTAGATTGAGAGATTTAAACTCCTGGAGGCCAAGCCTTGGCGGAATCCCTACACCTTCCTGAGTTTTTCCTCCAGGAGTCCCACTAGGCTCTCAAAGTGAAGATCAAAGAAAAACCCCCTCCTGCTTCTGGTGGGAGGAAGGGAAAAGGAGCCATTTTGAAATATGTCCACAGTGTTCTGTTCTCCTTAACAATGGCCTGCCTTCGCAGGAAAGTGTTTTGCCAGAGTCTAATCAATGTGGGTTTTACCAGAGACTAACTGACCTGGGGGAAGGACTCCCCAACTCCAGCCCCCTCTAGTCTTTTTGTCTCACCTAAGGGGTAAATGAAAAGCTATGACCACTTGTGAAGGCCACAGGCCAGGGGCACAGGCACTCTAATGACTGAGACCTAATCATAGGACTGTAGAACACTTCCTCTGCCCCACATCCTACCACCACATACATAAAGCTCCTGTAGAAGAACAAGGGGGTAGAGCTGGCAGGAACTGCAAAACTAAACCCAACCTTAAAGAGTCCCTAGGGATACCCCTGACCTAGGGGAGAACTTTTAGCCCTTGACACCTACAGCCACAGGAAAGAGCAAACACAGCCTGACTCCTAACCAGATGAACATAAAGCCTCACACTAAGATCTGTTTACCTCCGTTCCTTTTACCTGGCGTACGATGGCTGGCTTTCAACAGAAAATAACAAGGCACACTAAAGGTGAAAAACATAGTTTGAAGATACAGGGCAAGCATCAGAACTTGACTCAAATATGGCAGAGATTTGGCAATTAGCAGACCAGAAGTTTGAAACAGCTATGATGATTTAATACTAAGGGTTCTAATCGAAAAAGTGGACAAAATACAAGAACAGATGAGTAATGTAAGCAGAGAGATGGAAACCATAAGAAAGAATCAAAAGGAAATGGTGGAGATTGAAAACACTGTAACAGAAATGAAGAACACATTTGATGAGCTCATCAGTAGACTAGACATAACCAAGGAAAGAATCAGTGAGCTTGGCTTAACTCTTTTCCCTTACACTGAAAATCTTGGCTCCTGGTACCAGGATGTTTGCTTTCAAATTACAGTACCAATATGTTTAGTACTTGTTAATATATGACTAATATATTAGCTATTAACAATACAACTACTGAGTGAAGCTTAAGATCTCTTTGCAGTTCTTTCTGTCTTTAAAAATATTCCATTATTAAACAATCTGAATACTGTGACCAAAGTCATATGAAATAATTTTTTTTTGTAGTTATGTTACATGTTTGATGTGCAGTTGGATTTATTTCAGTTTGTTTTCCAGGGTTTGTTTTATTTTTGTTTGGATTTTACTTAATTTTTTAATATGTAATAAACTTACATGGTTCAAAAACCAACATTATGTGTACAAAATAAAATTATACTCAAAGAAATCTTCTCTATACTCTTCACTTTGTTCTCTTCACCCCTTTCCCATCTTCATTAATTTTTTATTAGTTCCTGATTTATCCTTCCAGTGTTTATTTTTATGTCAAAAATAAGCAAGTTGGATGTGTGTGTATATATATTATATATATAATATATATAATTAGTACATACTTATGTATATAAAAATGTATATATTTGTGTGTATGTGTGATATATATATATATCCTTTCTTACATGAAAGGCAGCAAACTTTATACACAGTTCTGCACTTTGACTTTTTCCCTTAACAGTATGGTAGAGATCGTCCTTGTCAGTACATGGAGATTGTCCTCATTCCTTTTTGTGTGCATAGTATTCTATAGCATGGATATATCATAGTTTATTCTATCAGTTCTCCACTGATAGATGTTTTTTACTGTTTGAGATATTTTGGTATTATAACTACTATTGCAATGAATAACCTTGAGAAGATGTTGTTTTGTAATGAATTATAATAAAGTGAATACTTGTGAACCACCATCCAGGCTAAGAAATAGACTATCACTAACACTCCACAAGCCCTCTGTCCCCCTTCCCAAATGCAGCCCCCTTTCCTTACACCCCAAAGGTAACCTCTATCCAGTCTTTTATGGTGATCATTTCTGCACATTGCAAAACACTATTGTTTAATTTTGTCTATTTTGAAATTTATATAAATAGAATCATAAACCATATACTCTTTTGTGTCTGACTTCTTTTGCTCAAAATTATATTTGTGAGAATTTATCCTTGATGTTGAGTGTAGCTGTTGTTCATTGATTTACATTTCTGTGTAATATTGCATTACATGAATATACTACAATTTGTTTGTCCATTCTACTGTTGAATTACATTTGAGTCATTTCTCATTTGGAGCTGTTATGAATAATGGTGCTGTGAATAGTCCTGTTCATGACTCTTGGAGCACACGTGCATATATTTCAGTTGGGTAATGTTTTAGGAGGGGCCACCACCACCACCTTCAACTTTGATAATACTCTAGAAGGACTCATAAGACTTAGTAACAACTAATACTTACAGATAAGGTTTATTACACCAAAAGATACAGAACAAAAGTATCTCTACAGTCTGCTGGTGGTGAATTCCCTCAGTTTATGTTTCTCTGAAATATCTTTATTTCATCTTCATTGCTGAAAGATATTTTTCCAGGCTATGTGGGCTATTAATTTTCTTTCAACCCGTTCAAGATACCGTTCCATTGTCTTCTGGCTTCCATTGTTTCGCTTGAGAAGTCACCTAACAATTTAAAAGCTGATTCTATGAAAGTAACTGCCCTTTTTTTCCTTCTCTGATTCCTTTAAGATTTATCCTTGTCTTTGGCTTTCAATACTTGTACCCTGCTGTGTCTGTTGTTGTGGCTTTATCTTATTTGGGGTTTGTTGGGCTTCTTAAATATGTATGTATTGACATGCTCCATCACATTGAACAAATTCTCTGCCATTGTATCTTCTGCCCCATTCACTTTCTCTTGTTCTTCTGAGACTCTTAATGAAACATATATTAGTCCTTATTACTATATTCTTTATAGCCTACAATCTATTTTGTATTTTCCATCTTTGCATCTCTCTGTCCTTCACTGTGGACAGAGCTGTTTTCCTCTGAACTGTTTTCCTGTTCACTAATTCTCTCTTGTACTGTGCATATTCTGCTGTTAAACCCATCCACTAACTACTGATTTTAGTTATTATGTTATTTTTATTTTAGAAGTTCATTTTGGTTCTTTTTCTAATTTCCATATCATTTTCTGTATTTTCCAGTTTTGAGATTTTCAATTTTATTTATCATCTTCTTGGACATATTAAGTATAGTTATTTTAACCTCTGTTGGATAATTCTACTGTTCAGAACCCCTGTGAGTCTGTCACTATTATCTGTTGTTTTCTGCTGGTTTCATTGCTTCTTGTTTATCTTGGCTTCTTTCTTCATGTACCAGGTTACATTTGATAGTGTGCCAGACAGCATTTGAGAAATTATTATTTTAAAAATTGAGGTATTAGATGATATTATCATCTTCTTCTGAGAATATTTGTTTGCTTCTGCCAGGGACCTGGGACCATTAGCAATATAGAATGATCTGAATACATGTTAAGGATTGAGTTTTTCTGGGCCACTCAGTTGTCTTAAAGCTGGGCTACAGTTATACAAGTTCTGATTTCTTCCTGGTTCACTCTCACTATTAGGATTCAACCCAAATAAGATTGGGGGACTTAACATGGCCCTCCCTTTGGTGGGCCCTGGCTTCCAACTTGTGTTCCACTCACCTCACATGATGGTCTGAAGTGCTACTCACCTTCTATGGTACTTCTTCTAGAATTAGCAAATGCTTCTAGGGTAAAGTAGCTTAATATGCTAGGCTTACCACCTTGAAATTTAGTCTTCTCCCAAATCTTGGCCTGGGAATTCTTTACTACCTTATTAGGCCTCTAATATATTCAAGCAGATCTTTTTTCAAAAAATTCATTATTTTTTTGTTTGTTTTTCTCTACCAGAGAGTAGGGTCAGATTACCCAATTTTCCGTTATCATAAATAGAAGTTTCTTTTTGCTTCTGTTAAAGTTTTCATGGAATATTCTTTAAAATCCTCGAAAAGCTACTCCTCCAAAAAAGGACTTAGCCTCGAAGGTTCACAGGGGAGTTTAGGTAAACATGTCAAGAACAGAATATTACAGTGCCATATTCACTATTCCAAAGCATGGAAAAAGGAGGAAACCTTCCAAATTCTTTTTATGACGCTACCGTATCATTGGTTCTAAAACTTGACAGAGGGTGCATGCACACAGACACGAGATTCCCAAGACCTTCAGGAATAGTTACCATCTCCAGGAAAGTCAGTCTCCTTCTCGATTTTAGGGCACAATCCCCTTGAAGTTGATATTTCACATTCTGCAATTTAAAGGTGAAAACTAAACGAAGGAATATAAGAGATTTATTCAAGGAGATAAACTGGGTTACATTATGTGGTTGAACAAAAGGCTCACCAGCAGTCAAGCCAAGCTGCCGTCAGTCCACCAAGGGGGAGAAGGATGTGTTGATAGCGGGCTTGGGTTAGAGCCGTTTCTTATTGATCCACCTCTTATTACTTCCTATTTACAAAATGGAAAAATGAATGCTTATGATATGATATGATTGAGGAGTCAGTGGAAAAATGTAAAAAGCCTGTGCTAAACAAATATTAGTTTTTCCTTTCCCTGGCCATTTATTAAATTACAAGATTAAATGCAGTTTCCAGGTTCCCTGAGGGACTGAGTCTGTAGAAACTTGGAGATAGATGTGTGTGGAGTGAGCGTGGGGGTGACTTTGATGGGAGCTGGGTCAAGACAGTGCATATCTGCAAGGGGATGGTAAGCAACCATGGGCGGGGCAGTCATTCTGCCAAGAAAAGATCTTACGGAGCAGGGAGGGCTAATCACTGCTCAGTAAGAAAGGAGTTCTTTGGCTAATGCTTATTTGCATTTCAGGCTCATAGGAGAACAGACTGGAAATGTTGGAAGAGGAATAAATATTGCCATTGTGAATTGTAAGTTCAGTGTTTTCTTTAAAACTTCCCTAAAAGCTCTGTATTGGATTTTCAAAGATACCCCGGGTTTTTGATGATTTTTGCACACAATCTAATCTGGGTTTATATTTTAATACATTTTAAAATCGTATATTTAATTATTTTTACAATGCCTCGCTTTATAAATTATTTGTGGTTCCTACAAAACAAAAAAACTGAAACCAAAGGTAAGTAGACTTTAAAAAAAAACAAAAATGGGGGGCCGGCCTGGTGGCATAGCAGTTAAGTTCACACGTTCCACTTTGGCGCCTCGGGGTTCCCAGGTTCGGATCCTGGGCGCGGACCGACGCACTGCTTGCCAAGCCATGATGAGGCGGTGTCCCATATAAAGTAGAGGAAGATGGGCATGCATGTTAGCCCAGAGCCAATCTTCTTCAGTAAAAAGGAGGATTGACAACAGATGTTAGCTCAGGGCTCATCTTCCTCACCAAAAACAAACAAACAAACAAACAAAAAACAAAAATGGAGCAGCAGTGGGCAGAGTTAAAACCATATAAGCAGACCTGGGGCCACAGACCGTCCTGGAGTGGAGCCTCACATCTGCTCCTGGTGGCCCAGCAGAGGGTGACACCACCAGCCAATTGCCACCTCTGTATGATAAAAGACGACTAGGGCCTCGGGGGACGCTAAGCCTGGCCTCCTCTTGGGCCTGGGGAAAACATTCTGTCAGGATTGCCACTGGGGCCTCTGGTGATAAGAAAAGTAGCAGGTTTGGGGAAAGGGTTTCCTGTGGGGTCCCTGTGAGTGAGCTGAGCGCATAGTCCAGTGACGGCAGGGCTATAGGACCTGAGACGAAATGTGCCCAGCCTGATAATCTGCCGGAAAAGCCTGATGGGAAGCGGACAGGGCTGAGTGGGGGCTCTGGTGGTTCTGTGGGAAGAGGCAGGTGCAACAGGAAAGAGCGGAGGATCAAGTCTAACTGGAAGCAGATGGGAATAAGGTTCTAGAGCAGCTGACGAGCCCTGTCTCTGACCCCACATTGGTAACACCCCTCCAGGGAGGGCAACCCCGTTTTTCAGGCTGGCTCATCACAGCAGCCGTGCTTCCTGGGAGGAGACAGAGAAGAAACACGCCGATTTGAGAACTGTAGTACCACAAACGCGACCTGAGTCCTGATGAACTTTCTCTTGAACACTGGTTCTTTTATTTTCAGATCTGACCGGGAAAGTGATAGCAACACAATATTTTGATATGTACGCAGGAGGTAAGAAAAATCTTTTCCTGTTAAAATTAAAATGAATTATAAACATAAGTTAAGATGAAAACACAACAATGTCAAGCATTGTTATTTTGTTTCCTAAAAATGTTGGCAGAAGCTCATGTGAGCATTCCACAATGGTCTTACATAAATCCTCTCAGTCTCCCATTGAGTTCGTATAATAAAGTTGGAAGGCATTATCTAGAACATATCTTTTCTCTGATCACACTAGTCCTGGATCTTTTCCTTCTATTCTTTCATCAGATAACAGGAAAGTATTGTTTTTAAAGTCAAATATATATAAAATAATGTGTTCAGCATCCAGCCTTGGATATCATCCCAATCGCTGTCGTGTTCACGGTGCCCCACTGGGCTCGATGCAGGCATTCCTGGACCCCACCGTGCCACTCGCCTTCAGTGGTCTCTCCATCCTGGGCACTGGATCTTGACTGCAGCTGTCAGCTGGGACATACCAGCCCCTTTTATTTTTATTTAACACCGAGAGTTGTTGAAAACAGGTCTTTATAAAGATAATGGAGAAGAGCAATAAGAAATGCCTGGATGCACTTGATGGAACTATGCATTTTTGCTCTGCAGTTACCTTAAGCATAACTGTAAATAGCCAGCCCCCAGGGTAAATAATGGAGTTTGAGAATAACCTTTATTTTCTTCCTGTAAGGCCTAGATAGGTGTTACAATGCCCAGGCTGGTCTGTATGTCTCCGTATTTCTCTTCTCCACTCTACATGTCACTGTCCTGGGGCTGCTCTGCTCTAGAATGCTCACACTTGGGTCTGGGGTTTCGTGAGTAATTGCAGAGACAACTCCACCTGTGCTGCTGAAGTCGTTGCTGGTTTTGAGCTTGATCAATAGAGTCTTTATGATCTGATCGTGCTGCTCACCTCACGTGGTCCCACCATGGAGCCCAGTGGCTGTTTCCTGTAAAGAGTTAGAGCACCCTTTGCATGGAGGAGAGGCGAGCTCTACGAATCTGAGGATTAGGAGTGGACACAGAGGCTGGGAGCAGAGGAGGCACAGCATCTAGGGCAAGGGTCTCAGGTAACGGAGAAGAGCCTAAAACTGATTTGCATTGACCCGACAGATAACTCTGGACTGATGACAAAGTTTATTCAGAGTGCTCCTCCGAAGTCCCTGCTCCTCATGGTGACCCATGACGATGGCAGCAGCAGGTGAGTGTGTATAGGTTTGTCACAGTGGGGGCAGGGAAGGGAAGCCAGCTGGGTGGAGAGTGCTAGGCCCCAGCAGGTCGCTCAGGACATCCTCGAGGAAAGAACAAAGCTCCAAGGAGCAAGATGCTTCTTTAAGGGAAAGGAATGGGAGACCAGGACAAAACAGACTGCATGTCTAAAAACTGACTAGCCAGTGGAGGACGTAAGTACTAGAAGCTAAGGAATATTTCCGGGTAGCACGACAGAGCCACTGACTGTAATTAGGATAGAAAAGCTAACCGTTGGCCAGAAAAGCTAAACCCAAGGTGGGACTGACACACACACACCCACACACACACGCAACACCATCACAAGGGAGAAGGTGCTCTGGCTCAGTGTTTCTCCACGTCTGCTCTTCTAAGTAAATGTGCATCTTCGCTGCCAGACTTCCCAGAGCCTCGAGTGCTGATCTGCATTGTGAATCTCCAGGACGGGGCTGCTGAACACAGCATTTCCCGGTTTGTTTGACCTCAGATCCTACTTTTAGTAGAGCATCTTACCAGACTGAAGTTCCTTGATACACACTTTGAAAAACTCAGATTTCACTCATTTAGGAAAAGCTGAACTTGTTATTGTTTTCTTTTCCTTTCTGCCCTCCTCCCTTTGCTTCCTCTAAATTGTGCCCTTTTACAAGGCAGTATTCTTTTAGTTTTTTTCTTTTTTGATACTGACTTTTCTGAGTATTCAAGGGACAGTTTTAATCTTTGCTTTCATTTTTCAGCAACTTGTCTACCTTATTTTGTGGTCAGTAAACAGGAGGGGCAGCAAGGACCGAAAATTACATTGGCTGAGTGTGAGGGTGTGATAACTCAAGACACCTGGGCTCTTCAGAATTGAGACTTAAACCTCTGCGCCCTAAATCAAGTCTAAAAGAGTCCTGGATGTTGTCACAGGTTTTACTAGAAATTCGACATCCTCACCTATCATGTGGGCCCTTTTCCTCCGGTTTTTCCCCCAAGGAGGAGATGAGTTCCCTTAGAAACCTCTGTCCTAGGACAGACACAGTGTGACACACAGGGTCTCCGCGTGAGACATTCAGACGCTTTCCCCTCTGCCCCCAGACTGAAGGAGGACGCCAAGAAGGCCATAGAAGCACTTGGAAGTAAAGAAGTCAGGAACTTGCGGTTCAGGTCGAGTTGGGTATTTCTTACAGCAAAAGGCTTTGAACTTCCTGTGGGAATTCAGAGAGAAAAGGTGAGTGTTTTTAAAGGTCCCTTCCCACAAATGCTTGGTAGAGTATGTCCTGTGATTTGAAAGGTTGCCGGTGGGTCAGAACCCCTGTCTCCAGGTCCATCCCCATGTACAGCGCCTGCCGCAGAGGGCAGGGCGGAGCCGGCTGCCTGTGTCTGACCCCTCGCTTCTCTTCTCCACTCAGGGTTCTGAGCCTGAGACTCCACGTTCCTAAATCTGGGAAAAATCACCTCCCATGCAGTCAGCACTCGATACACTATTACAGGTCAAACAGTCCATCATAAGATGCTCATAAACCTTTCCCGTTATGTCTGTGTTAGAAAGGCACTTGACCGAAGTTTCAAACTTCTCAAATCTCTTTAAAAGTAGAGAATTCTGAGTGGGCTATTAGTGTTGGTTTTCTATCCTGCTGCAGCCAGCAGTTGTCTCAGGCTCTCTTTTTGCCTCTGTTCTGAGGATGGTAATGGTACTTAGCGGTTAGGGTGGTTAAGGAGATTAACCAGGCCTGTGCACAGGAAGCACTTCAACAGGGCAGACTCCACACAAGCTCTGGAGAAACAGAGCTCTCGTTGCTGCTGTTGTAACTTGTTGCGTGACTGATTATAAGTCCCTCTCACTGTGTCCTTTATTTATCAAAGAAAAATGAAGAGCAAAAGAATGAAGTTCTACCATATTAACTTAGTCGCCTGGGAAAGTTCCAGCTGAGGGTTGACAAAATTTTGTAGGGGTTACAAGCTGAGGCCTCTGGGGGCATCACGCAGCTCTTGCAGAGATGCTGCTCTCCAAGAAACGGTGCTGAAACCCGACAGGTGCCCAGGGGGCGGCAGGTGGCTGCCTGCCGAGGAGCGAGAGCTCCAGCTGCTCCTTAGGAGAAGGGCCTCCTTTCCACAAGCTGGAGATTCAGAGGCGGCAGAGATATGAATGTCTCCAGGGTGTGCAAGAGGTTGCTTCCGCCTCCAGGCCAGGACACTTGGTCCCGGGCCCCGCCGTGCGCTGTCTGCTGTGGTTTGGGGTCTGGGAAGGAAGACAGACAGAAGCAGGTGGGCGGCTGGGCCTCCCCTTGTTGGCAGGACCACCTAGGGGTAGGAGAAGGGCGTAGGTGAGGTGTCACTTCAGTGCGGCCACCAACCAGATAACTCATGACCGGCTCCCCGGCAGCCCTAGAGCTTCTCTGACGCCCTTGATTGTAGCACTCGGAGGCTCAGAAATCATGGTGATTTTAGTATGCTTCTGAAACAGCACATTTTCTCCTTGTAACTTGCATTTCTTTCACCGCCAGGAAGCCAGTCCTGCAGAACACATCAGGAGCATTTACCTGGGGCCCTAGTGTAGACCACTTGTTACTAATGGCTGGGTCTGACCCCCACCATACAGTTGAGACCTCATGAACTTGTCCTAATGTGTGAGGCATTCCCTAGGCTTGCGTGGGGGCCTCCCTGGACCACTACTGCCTGGGCCCAAACCAGGGGGAGGTGAGCCAGGCACACAGCTGGGAGAGGGGGCTGGCGCAGTGTCAGGTTTGCCGGGGGCCATGTGTGATCTTGAACAAGCCACCTCACCTCTCTGGGCTTCAGTTTGCTGCTCTGTGCAGTGAGAGGAACGCTAGGTAATTCTCCAGGGCCCAGCAGCTGTGATGTGGATATGCGCCCATTGACCCATGGCTTTTCTCAGGCTGAGTCTGTTTAGTAATACAGGGTCTCCTTCTCCTCCACACCCCTTGTATGATCAGTACCGGTCTGGCGTCTTACAGATCTCCAGACTTTGTGCACTTAGCTGTGTGGTCTTGGGAAAGTTACTTCACCTCTCTGTGCTGCAGAATCATCCCCTGTGAGAAAGGGTTAACGACAGTACCCATCATAGAGAGTCAATGAGGATTAAGAGAGAGCGACACATGGGGCTCAGCAAGAATGCAAGTGTAGAGTCCTGTAAGCCAGAGCATCTGGGCCTTTCTGGAGCTTCCCCTGCTCCCTTCCACCAGACCATCCCTGACTCATTCCCAGCCTGAGTCTCCTTAAAGAGGACTCTGACACCCAGGTCCTCTGCAGGCCACCTGGACTAGAATCTCAGAGGGTGGGGCCTGGCCGGGTGATTCTGATGCACAGGGAGAGTTGGACCCATTGCTTTGATTTTCACAAGAAAATGGAGGCCTCGGTTCCACGTGACATGCAAACTCCCCCTTAACGTCATCTTCCAACTTCTCTGCCCTTTCCCCAGCTGTCTTACTCCATCCCCTCCCCATTCTCCCCAGGCTCCCCAGGTCACTAACCCAGCAGGAGTGGTGGTGGGTAGCAGGGCCACTGCTGGCATATAGGGCAGAGCTCAGACACACCAGCGCCTGTCATTATTGTTAGAGCTGGCACTGTTCCCCTGTCCGATATATGAGTGTGTCCAGACATGCCAGAAAAGCCAGGACTGAGGCTTGAATCCCTTTCAACTCAAATGTTCACATCTCAACAAACAGCTTCCCTGTTAATGTTTAGCTAAGATGTATGAAACAAAGCCTCCGTGGAATTGCATTGTAGCAGTGGCCCTGGCTTTCCTATTTTCTTTGTAAGTGTCAAGACAAAATAACCAATAACCATTCTGTAGATAAGAGAGAGAGGTGAGTTTTACTTGAGCCAGAGTGAGGATTATAACCTAGGAAGGCCTTTTCCAGAAAGGAAGAAAGCATTCAGAGAAGCATGGTTTTCAGTACAGTCTTATATCTTTTTAGAACAAAGAACATGCCTTAAACAAGCCCAGGATACGTGTTCATCAAGGTTTCAAAGAGGTATTCAGCTGCAAATTAGCAGATCCTCATGACCCTGATGTCGGGAAAGGGACTAATGGGGTGTTACCAATGGGACGTAGGAGGGGAAGGATGCATTCTTATCTTGAGAGTGCATTCTTTGTTTTAATGGTTAAAGCAGATGTGCAATGAATGTTTGATAGGCCATAAGTCAGGCTTCTTTGGTTTAAGCCGAATCAGTTTTGACCCTGAATAGTTACCCCATATACCTCAATATGTGGAAAAGCTCTTGTCATAAGAAAGAGTTTCTGGAATGGGAGGAGTCAAGGAAGAGGCTGGGTGTCCCAGCGCTGCACTGAGTTTAGAGAACTGATGTGTTTTGAAACAGTGGCTCTAAGGGAATTTCGGGAAAATGCCTGTCTTGCCTCCGTATGTTTGCTGAAAGTTATTGTTCCAGTTACTACAAGAGTTCAAAGACTAGACCTGAACACAGCAAGCAGTTTTTGCAGGACTTACTAGAGCTACTGTGGTTCAGGGCACTGAAGGATGTTTGCTCAACTGTTGATGAGGCCTGAGCTGGTAGCCAGGGCCTCAGGACAATCCTACTGAGAGTCTGAGTCAAGTACTGTTGGAGGAATTGTTTGTCTTCACATTTTGGATATTCAGACTTGGCACGCCATAGATTTCCCTCAGGGTGGTGTATGGCTGTGTTGGGAGGGCCCCCCACATCCTCAGTGGTCTCTGCAGCCACCATGCACATCCGTTCCCCCTGCTATTCCCAGAGGCAGCTTCCCAGGCACAGCTCCAGGGTCACTTGCATGCTCAGAAGCCTTTCTTGGCCCCACTACCTGCTGAACTGAATTTTGAAATGCAAGCTGATTCCAGTTTTATAAGGGAGGAGGAACCTGAGACCCACAAACTGAGAAATAAACAAGGTGGAGTCTGACGTGAGGTAACCTGGGTTTGGACCTAGACTCAGTCATCCCCGAGACTCAGCACACGTCGTCACTGTCATCACCTCCAGCGTGGTCTTTGTCTTGGTCCCTGGTGAACCAGAGCTCAGACCCTTGTCGCCAGCCCAGCTGATCCCTTCCTAGTCTTCTCTCCATGCTGTATGTGCTCAACACGCCAGGGAAACCACCGCAGCCTTTGCCCTTGCGGGAGATCAGAATTGGCCACCCTGGGGCCGGCCCCGTGGCTTAGCGGTTAAGTGCGCGTGCTCCGCTGCTGGCGGCCCGGGTTCAGATCCCGGGCACGCACCGACGCACCACTTCTCCGGCCATGCTGAGGCCGCGTCCCACATACAGCAACTAGAAGGATGTGCAGCTATGACATACAACTATCTACTGGGGCTTTGGGGGAAAAAAAAAAAAAAAAAAAAATTAAAAAAAAAAAAAAAAAAAAAAAGAATTGGCCACCCCAAAATGTGTCTCTTTGCCTTGATTATTTTTAAGAACAAAAGACTCTGAAGGAAACTTTGGCCTTCCCCCTAACTGCCTAAAAGAATTTAAGATGGAAGGCCTGTACCAGGAAGGAGCTAATACTACAAGATAACTATAGTATATAATGTAAAATAAGTGTGATAAGAAAAGCACCAACAAGCCCATTTTATCGAAATTCTGTCTCTAGGACCACATTCTCAAACATTTGCTTCTCCATCTCCATGTGAATTGCCTTCCTCCCTTCTGAAGTCCCAAACCCACACCCCCAACATCCTCCTTTGTCTTTAGCTGAAGATAGTATTTAAGATGAGAACCTCTGCCATTTTGGCAAGTTGCTTAGTTTTACCTGAGTTTCTCCCATGTATACATGTTATTAAACTTTGTTTTATTTTCTCCTGCTAACCTGCCTTTTTAATTATTTGACCAGCCATAAGAACCGTAAGGGAAAGGGTGAGGGGGATTCTCCCTCTTCTCCTACACCCTCCTCCACCCACTGCAGAGCTTTCCCATGCTTGGCCATTTGCTTATGTCTCCCTCCATCCTGAGTGTGCTTTCCCCAAAGTCTCCTTCAAGATCCAGTGTGTCGGGGAGGAAAAATTTCCCTTCTACCCTTCTAGGTTCTGTGGCTGGCCTAATAATTAAGTTGACATTATACAGATCAACAGGAGAAAAACAAACTGAAGTTTACCATGTATACCTCCTGTATACATGGGAGAGACTCAGGAAAACTGAGTAACTCTCTGAAATGGCCGAAGCCACCACCTTAAATACCTTCTTCAGCTAAAGACAAAAGAAGACATTGGGAGTGAGGAGTCAGTTATGAAAGGTGACTAGGAAAAGCACAGCAAACAAGGGTCAGGTTGTTATGCAGATTGAAGTCCCTGCCTTCTCCATTGATGAGAGTTGCTAGAGACTGAGTCATCCCCTTCTTCCTGCTACAGCAGGGAGATACCCTTACACATGGAGATATCCTTTGTACAGGTAAATGTTTCTTACAAAGGCTAACCTCTACTTGGTTTTCAGAGCTTGTCCCATGTCTGCTGTTTCTTAAAAAAAAACCAGCCTAAAATAATCCTTATGCCAAAGAGACATATTTGGGGTGGCAAATTCTGCTCCCCTACAATAGACATATAGACCAATGAAATGGAATTGAGAGTCCAGAAATAAAAGCTCACATTTTTGGTCAATTGATTTTTGACAAGGGTACCAAAACCATTTAATGGGGAATGAATAGTGCTGAGACAACTGCATATTCACATGCAAAAGAATGAATCTGGACCCCTACCTCACACCATATACAGAAATTAAGTCAAAATGGGTCAAATAACTAAATATAAGAGCAAGAACTATTTATTAAACTCTTAGAAGAAAACATAGGCATAAATCTTTGTGAACTTGGATTAGGCAGTGGTTTATTAGATATGACACCAAAGCACAAACAACAAAAGAAAAAATAGATAAATTGCGTTTCATCAAAATGTAAAACTTTTGTTCCTCAAAGGACTCCATTAAGAAAATGAAAAGATAACCTGCAGGATGGGAGAAAATATTTACAAATAAAGGACTTATATCCAGAATGTATAAAGAACTCTTACAACTCAATAATAAAAAGACAACCCAATTTTATTTCTTTTTTTTGTGAGGAAGATCAGCCCTGAGCTAACATCCAATGCCAATCCTCCCCTTTTTGCTGAGGAAGATTGGCCCTGAGCTAACATCCTCTACTTTATATGGGACACCGCCACAGCATGGATCGACAAGCAGTGCATTGGCGGGCGCCCAGGATCTGAAGTTGCGAACCCCGGGCCACCGCAGCGGAGCACGTACACTTAATGCTTGCGCCACCAGGCCGGCCCTAGGAGACAACCCAATTTTAAAGTGCACAAAGGATCTGAATAGACATTTCATTAAAGAAGTTGTACAGATGGCCAATAAACACATGAAAAGATGCTCATCATTAGCCATAAGGAAAGTGCAAATAAAAACCACAATGAGATACCACCTCATACTCACTAGGATGGCTACAATAAAAAAGATGTAATGAGAAGTGTTGACAAGGATGTGGAGAATTTAGAACCCTCACACACTGCTGAAGGAAACGTAATAACACAGTTGCTCTGGGAAACATTCTGGCAGTTCCTCTAAAGGTTAGGCACACAGTTACCATATGACCTAACGATTCCACTCATAAATGTATATCCAAGAGAATGAAAAGACGTTCACACAAAAACTTATACATGAATGTTCATAGCGGCATTATTCACGATAGGCAAAAAGTGGAAATGACCCAAATGTCTCACTAATGGATAAAAAATGTATATATAAAATATGGTATAGCCATGCACTGGAATATTATTCAGTCATATAGAGAAATAAAGTACTGATACATGTACAACATGAATGACCTTGAAAACAGACTAAGGGAAGAAAACCAGACAGAAAAGGCCACATATTATATATTTTCTTTTATATGAAATTTCTGGGATACACAAAATCCATAGAGACAGGAAGTAGATTTGTGGCTGCCTAGGGCTGTGGGGGAAGGGGAATGACTGCTTATGGGTAAGTGGTTTCTTGTTCCAGTGATGAAAATGTTCTAACATTGATTGTTGTAATGGTTGCATATCTCTCTGAATATACTAAAAACCATTGAATTGTACACTTTGAGTGGGTGAATTTTATAGTATGTGAATTACATTTCAAAGCTGTTATATAAAAAAGGGATATGTAACTAGAATTCCAGAGTTTAGAATGCGTATTTTTTTGAAGCATTAGGTTAATGCTCCATTATCTGTGAAAGAATTAAAGATATAAAGGACTAACGTGTGTTCACGTTGATGTGAACACAGTTGTGACCCCTATGAGCTGAGCAAGAAATTCTGCAATTACCCTAAAAAATGATATAGTCCTATTACCAGGGAATTGAAAACTAAACATTACAGCTGTGCTGTCCAGTACGGCAGCTACTAGCCAAATCTGCATTTACATTTAAATTTATTAGAATTAAATAGAATTTAAAATCCAGTTCATCAGTCACACTTGTGCATTTCAAGTACTCAATAGTCAAATGTGACTAGTGGCTATTCTGTTGGATACTGTTGATTACAGAACATTCACATCATTGCACAAACTTCTAGAGCTGCATTAACACCTGGTTCAGATATTATTACAAAACACATTGAGAGGAAGTAGGTTGGAGCAAATTCCATTCTAGGAAGTGATTCTCTTTATATGACTTTGGTAATAGCTGACAAATATATGTTGATTATATTAGTGAATAAATGAAATTCTTTTCTTTGCTTTACACAGATCAACCACTCTGATAATTCAAAGAACAGATATTCTGGCTGGCCTGCAGAGATACAGATAGAAGGCTGCATACCGAAAGAACCAAGCTAACGTTGCACAGCCTTAATAAATGTGTTTTTTTATAGACAAATGCATCATGGAATGGCCCAAGAATCTTATCCAAGAGTCAATATATGATGAGTGTTTTGGGTTTGTCGCCAATCAACCAATATCTGCTAGTTGTATAAAATCTGAGCACACGGTACTGTTATGCCAGTTATGCTCATTGTTAGCAATGAGCAGGAAGACTGAGATGAATGGGAATAGTTAAAGGTAATGAAGGGATTTACCTGGAAAGGAGAGGGTTGGGGGAAGCAACCACCGTTTGCCCAGGTGTGGAGCTATTTTATGATCAGATCTAAGTGTGACCCCTGTGGTCCAGACATTCTGCAGAGAGAAAACCTTCATTCTGTTATCATCAAGCACAGCCTCGTTCCAGACAGTCATCTCTTAGGAGAATGAGCAACAATCAGAGGGCTTGGCAGAGCCACCTTGGTCAACTCCAGTTGACCCTTGAACTCTTCCTGTGGGTCCATGAACTAACTCATTCATCCTACAGATCTGGGCACCTCCTACCTTCTGCCATCAGCAGTACGGTAATGAATGGGACCCAATCTCTGCTCTCATGCAGGGTGTCACTCCAGTGGCCAGCCTTTGTTTGATGGTGTGGGGAGGGAGGAGCTCTGACAGAGTGAGCAGGGTCTGCCCTCAGGAGGGCAACTGTATACCTCAGACTCTCTAGGAGAAACATCATTAGATGCACAGATCCAAGATGCCCGTGCCCAGTGAAGTGAATCCAATGATGTGTCTGATTTGGGGTTAAAAGATGAAGTCATGCCAAGCGTCCATTGTAACCTTCCTGAGCCTAATTAACAGAAGAGCTAGGAGACTGTGATGCCAGGTTAATATTGCTTCTCTGAGCCTTCAGTTTTTCAGCTATAAGATGGAGGAATTGAGATAGATAAAATGATTTCAAGTATTTTTATCAGCAGGACTCCTTTTAAAAACATGGTAGCATACGGCACCCTGAATTTCAGCATCCTCAAAGTAAGAACGGCCCCAAATCTCAGTGGCTTACAGCAGCACTGATTTCTCCTTTATGTTACACGTGGGCCACAGGTCAGCCTCAGCTCGGCCCCGGGCGCTGGCAGCCAGGCCAGAGGAGGGTCCCTATCAGGCACGGAAGCCAGAGAGAGCGAAATCCAGCTGCCCCCACAGCTCCTGCCAGGACACAGTGTGAGCACCCCATCCCCGCCTCCTGTTGCCCAGCCATGTGGAGGTCAGCCACGTGGCAGTGGGTGAGGTGACTGTCCTCCCGCAGGGAAGGGGTGAATATGTGTCAGCGGGAACACAATGAGCGCTGAAAGCCAAGCAGTGCTCTGGCCCAGAGAGGACTGTGGGGCCTGCTGGCCTTCCTGGCAGTGGCCCCTAGGGAGCCGGGCCTCTCTCTGCAGAGGAGTCTGCAAACCACTCGATGGGATCTTGGCTCAGGCCCTGTTATAGGCTAAATTCTGCCCCCCTAAAATTCATAAGTTGAGTCCTAACACCCAGTACCTCAAAATGTGACCTTATTTGGAAATAGGGTCATTGCAGATGTAATAAGAGCAGGGTGGACCCTAAGCCAACATGACTGGTGTCCTTATAAAAAGGGGAAATTTGGACAGAGACCCACACGCAGGGAGAACACCACGCGAAGATGAAGACAGAGATTGGGGAGATGCTTTTACAAGCCAAGGGTCGCCAAAGATTGCCAGCGACCACAGAAGCTGGGAGAGAGGATGGAACAGATGCTCCCCTAGAGCCTTGGGAGGAGGCACGGCCTTGCTGACACCTTGATTTTGGACTTCTGGCCTCCAGAACTGTGAGAGAATACATTTATCTTGTTTAAGCCACTCATTTTGTGGTATTTTGTCACAGCAGCCCCAGAACACTAACATCGGCCCCTTTAGGTTCTAAACTCTTTGGTACCCCTAGGCATTTCTGTATTAAGAAAAGTGGGGAGCGTATTTATACTCTGGCAGAAATTACTGCATTTTCACAGCATTGTTGATCTTAATTCACTGTAGTAGGTGAGGCCTCATGCATTCCTGCGCAGGCTGGCCCAGGAATCCTGCCTGGGGCTGTGAAGCTCCTGTGACTCCACCCCCCATCCTGTGACTGCCCTGGGGCCCCTCCCCTCTGCTGGCCCTGCCGCTCTCACTGGGCATCCCTCCCTGGGGCGCAGGACTCTCAGTTCTCTTGTCGTGTTTCCCACCTACAGGGCACCGGGTGTGGAGACCGTCATGCCTCCCTGTGCCCCAGACGGGGGAGGCCCTCGAATACCTGTTCTCAGGATGCCACCTGCTGCTGCTCCCCTGGAAAGCCTGGAACACCTGTCAAAAAGTAGAGAACTTACTAAAAATATCTTCCTCAGTTGTAACCTGTCTATATTTCTTTCTCCAGGTTTATGTTTTCTACCTAAATTTTCATTTTATTCTATTAAATAAAATGGCGATCGGTAGAACAGCTTCCACAATATTACTATTTTTGAGATTCCTTGCCTGAGTTACGGGGTGTGGTTTAGGCTCTGTCGCAGGGTTTTCTTTTAGCAGGTCTTGTGAGAACACGTTCTAGCCCATTTCTCAGTTTTCACGAGGAAGTTCACAGCCCGGGTCCCAGCAGTGGGAGGGCTGTGGGAGCGGGCCATCCTGACCAGTCACCACTGGGCAGTTCCCTCCTCCGCGCTCCCTGCCCTCAGCCCCGAGGCGGGGACTGCTCCCTCCTCCCAGAGCTCTTTGCCTCTGCCTTCCAGCCTGGAGGTCACTCCTGGGGCAGGAAGAGGTGTCCCCCACCAGCTGCTCTCTGGGACATCCGCTTACTGGGAAACCCCTCTGGCCTTCTCTGCAGGAGTCGGGAGTCGTAACCAGTCCCCTTTCTGGGTTCCAGCTGGGAAAAGTCCAGGAAGAGGCAGCTGGGGAGCATGAGGGTCTTCACTGAAAAGGCAGCAGGATGGAGACAGTACGCAGAGAAAAGATGGACAGGCATGCGGGGAGGGAGGGATGACCAGGTGGACAGAGGCTGTGTAGGGCAGTGAGACTACCCTGTCTGATGCTAAAATGGTGGACACGTGTCATTATACGTCTGTCCAAACCCACAGAGTGTACAGCACCAGGAGGGACCCTAATGTCCTCTGTGGAGTCTGGGTGATGTGACGTGTTAATGGAAGTTCGTGGATTGTAACAAACATACCACGCTGGTGGAGGATGTTGATAGTAGGGGAGGCTGTGCGTGTGTAGGGACAGGAGTATATGGGAAGGGGCTCTGTGCCTTCACTCAATTTTGCTATGAATCTCAAACTGCTCTAAAAAATAAAGTCTGTTACAAAAGAAAAAGAAAAGGCTGCTAAGGAGACAGACGGGCAACCGCCCCAGGACGTCCTAATTGCCCAGACCTGGCCTGGAAATGTGCCTAAACACCACCATCCCCCCCACCACCACCGCCGCCGCAGGCCTCCCCAGGAGCACTCTCCACTGGGGAGAGCAGACCCTGCCCCTCCCTCTGCCGGGTGGTGGACAGAGGGGCCTGCGGTACCTGCCCCTCCCTCAGAGAGAGGGGCCAGGGCCTCCAGGCTCCGCCCCCGGGGAAGGCGGGGCATTTCCTGACTGCTCTCAGCATTTCCATTTCCAAGATTCCGGGACTTTTGACACCACAAAATCGATAACAGAGCTTGTCTCTGACGGAGGAAAGGGGTGTCACCAGCTGACACTCCAACCCCTGAGTGCACCTCTGTCTCACTGCCAGCCCCCAGGCCAGCCCCGTCGGCATCGCACAGGAGGGCTGACAACACGTTCCATGTGCCCAGCCCGCCTGGTGTGGACCCTCCGCTACTCCTCGGGCCTGCCCTGTGATGGGGGTCACGGTTGTCACCCCCACTGGTGCAGGTGGGGCCCAGAGAGTGAGGGGTCAGCGGGCTCGGACCCCACAGTGCCCTCTCTGCTACTGCGCCCTGCTGGAGCAAACACCGCCAGTTGAGAACTCTTGCCCGTCCCCAGGGTTCCATGGTTCCTCCGTCTCATTAACCCAGGAAAGGCCTGCGTGGTCTCCTTTGTGCGACTGAGGGGTCGGTCCGAGGGTGGACGCACTCTGGCTCGGACGGCTGGGGGCTTTGTGAGCACGCAGGCGTCGGCCCTTCCGCGGGGGTCGGCAGAATGGGGCCAGACAGGGTGGGCTCGGGCTGGAGCTGAGCAGATAGCAGCGCGAGAACCAGCCCTGCCCTCTGATGCTGTTCACAGTGTTCTCTCCCGGGGTTTGTCACCACCCACCAGCGGCAAAGACACCGTCCTTACAGTTTGAGTCTGCAGGGGACCCTGGTCCCTCACGGAGAGGCCATTGGGATGCGGGGCGTGCAGAAGGGGATGCGGTCTTGACGGGAGTGGCGGGGCCCCCAGCTGCGCTTGCTGCCTCCACATGAGCTAGTGTCACCCTGTCTGGCTTCTCTGGTGCCTTCGCTTGTGCCTTTCCTGGAGCAGTAGATGCGCCAGGCCTGTTACAAAGGACATCAGTGGCGAAGCAAAAAACTACCCCACTGCCAATTCGGTTGCGCAGTGCCTCCGCGCTCAGCCTTCGCCTCGCTCTCAGCCTCCGCCGGGGACTCTGGAGTGATTCGGCTCAGTGTTCGGTCCTGCGGTGCAGACCCTGAACACTGCCTCCCTGTGACCTCCTAATGGTAAAAACATTTTTTTTAAGCCTCTAAATTCCTTCTTTAAGAAACACTTGCCCACAAGGGCAGTAAGTAAAGTGAATGAGCGAAGAGATGCTCAGGATTTTTTTTCTTAATTTATAATGTTAATTTCCGTTTTGGAGATGATCGCGAGAGTGAAACCGAGACTGAGGGCTGCTGCTTCCCTTCTGCGTCATCCCACTCCCCCGCCCCCATGCTGAGGGCTCCTGGGGTTCCCAACAGTTGCGCCTTGGTGACGGGAATACCTGGCTCACCTGCGCTTGGATCACAGAGCAGGGGGACCTTGCGGACCCCTTAGGCGCATGCCCGCATTTTTGCAGATGAAGTAACAGGACCAGAAGATCACGCTGGCTCAGGGCTGAGTTCCTGGCTTGAAGCCCGCGTCTAGTGCGGGGCAGC